AATATCCTCCTTGTAGCTTTGCACTGATTTCCAGTGATCCCTTCTAGGTCCTGGACAGGCTGCCAAAGGCATTAAGCAAAGGACTCCTAAAAGGGATAGCAAAGGAGGTAGAGATTAACCCAGAAACTAAAGCAGGGGTGGGGATCTCACCATCTGATAAATGGGCGCTTTCTGACTGGATCCACTGAACGTGATAGCCCTCTGCAAATGGGCAACCTTCAACCCCAAATGAAAGTGCGGGACACTGTGATCTCCAAATTAGGCTAGTTGGGGATATTGTTAGCCCTTCAAGGTAGGCCAGATCAAGAAACAGACACACCAGAGATAGCAGAAATGCTCTTCATTGTAGGAAGGTTGAATAACAAGAATCTTGAAAGCTGATCCGATTTCCTCTGGGACCTCAGCTTTCAAGATTCTGTTATAATACCCTATAACAGTAAAGTAACATTTCTGGAATCCGTGCTGTACCTGTTTCTTGACCGGCCCTATCTCAAAGGATTAATTTCAATTAAACTTGAAAGCTTGTCCAAGTTTCCTTTCTGTTCCATCTTACACAAAGCAAAACCAAGGTGGGGTTATTTCCATTTCAATCTCTGGACTGTAAAAAAAAATGAGAAGGAATCTGGTAGCCCTTTCCTCAACTAACTTTTTATTAAAAAGCATAAGCTTTTGGGAGCCGCAGCTCACTTCATCATATATGTATGCCTTTTAATAAAGTTTGTTAATCAGAAAAGGGGCTGCCAGACTCTGATTTTTTGCCACCATAGACTAATGTGGTTCTCCTACAAAGCAGGTGATGGGGAAAAGCTGGGTGCTTCGGATGGGAGAAGAGGGCTGGACGAGGGGACAGTGTTGGTCCTGGACTCCTTGATGGTATCCTGTGGTTCTTCTGCTCCATCAGGTAGATGGTGGACTGAAAGACAGATGGAGAAACAAGGTGACAAAAGGAGGCTTGGGGAGGAAAATAACACAATCTCTGATTGTGTAATCTCTTCTCCAAGTCCCTCGTTAATTGCTTTCTTTCGTTCCCCCCTTAATAACTCTCTCGTACCTTCCCCAAGGTCAGCTCTTAATTCCTTTACATTCTGGAATGAATCAGTCCCTTCCTTAAAATCCAACCCTTTAGGAGACCCTTTTGGTTCCCCCATCTCTCCTTCCAAGTTCGCCATTTTCAGATGAACACCTCGGTAGACCCTCTGTCGCTCCTCACTTGCACCCAGCCTGACCTCGGCTTCAACCTCTCTTCCCCAGGATCCAGCGCGAGCAGATTGAGAAGGAGCGAAAGGAACACGAGCGGCGGGTGGCTCTCCAGCTGACCCACGCCAACGAGCTCCGGCGCCAGGTGCGGGAGCACCAGCAGAAGCAGGTCCAGGAGCGCATCGCCATCTTCGAGGAGGGCAAGCAACTCAAGGAGGAAGCCCGCCGGCGCAGCGAACGCCTCAACGAGATCAAGCGGAGGAAGCTAGATGAGCTCCGGTAAGTAATCGACTCCAGGATGGGCAAGGCAATCAGTGGCTGCTAATTAGGATAGTGTATCTCTGTAATGGTATGTGGGAAAGGCCTTGGGAGATGGGGTGTAGAGACGCTGCCAAGGGAACCGTCAGATAAGAGAGGGCATAGCCCTCAGCCATATAATGGATGGAGAAAGAGGCTTAGAAGGGACCCTCCCTAGTTTCTCAGGCTGTAAAAAAGACAGGGGGAAAATGGTACTTTCAGACTTGCAGGATTCTGGCAGTGTACCATAAAGTAGAATTAGCTCATCTAGTTGTGTTTCTTGTCTGGTCC